TGTTACGATCCTGGCCAATTTCGAAGTATACATTCATCTGAAAGTACAATGCCATCCAATTGCAAAAAGAAATGAATGAGCTTGAGAGGAAAGAGAGGGAAAGAAGAAGAAGAAGAAGTGAGAAAGGAGAAGATGATGATGTACTCCAGCATAGACCAATGTCAAGGCTCTTCTTCTTCGCCAACCAATCCCTTCCTCCTTATATCCTCCCTCTTATTCAAACAAGAAATAACAATAATAATGTTGAATGACTGAACCAGAATCAATGTCCGAATCCCACTTCTACTGCAGGCACAACATGAGGTCCACCATAGCCATGGCCACCCTTCTTCTTCCTCTACATACAGGCCGAGGCTATGGCGGACTACTAAGGCTTTAGCCTCCCGTCCAAAGGACAACCCAAAGCAGCTATGCCGCTGCCCCACTTCAAGGTCATCACCAGGTAGCTATGCCGCTGCCCACTCAGCCACCATGCCTGACTCTGTCTCGAGTTTCCTTGATGCGGCACTACCCCAACGGGGGCCTTCCTGATGCAGCGCCTAGCAAGGAGGTGAAGATGGTGTCTACCATAGCCAGGTAAGTGCCTCGCCACTCTCCTCCTTGGTCCCCTTCTCCCTCCTCCTCCTACCGGTAGAGCTCCACCATAGCCAAGGTGGAAGCTCCCGACTTCTTCCTCCCAGCAGCGCTAGTACCCAGCGCCACTCCAGCCAGCGCTCCAGCAGCGTGTCGCCAAACTTGCACACTGAAGAATGAGGCTGGGCTCTCCGCCCTGCCTCTTGATATAGCGGCCTACTTGCCTCCTGGGCGGTGACTTCCAGGCCGCTCGGCCTCTCCAAGCAACCCGTACCTCCTCCGTTTCGGAGGGAAACATCATTGCAGACCCTGATATTACCCGTACAGGCTCTAGACTCTGACTGGTTGGACTGGTACCGGCCTAGACCTACCCTACCGCTACTGGACTCTAAAAATGCCAACTTTGTCTTTTTCTGCTCGGCCTCCAGTACCCCCTCATGCCAACTGCAGTGGGGTGCAGTATCGGCCTACCGGCCCACTTGAGTGTTTTTCCCTGCTACAACCCTCAATGCCACGGCCACAGGTAAGTACCGGCCCTACGGGCCTGTCAAACAAGCAAGTACCCTTGCGGGTCACACACACACTCATACTGAGAAGCACTCAGACAGGCACGCAGGTCACAAGCACGCACACACAGACAGACTTAGAAAACACAGCAGAATGCGGGAATCTCAGCAAGGCATCCATTCCATCGGCAGAACTTCAGAAATCAGCAGTGTTCTCAGTCTGTGTTTTGACAGGTCGTTACAATATGCTCTTTTTTAAAGTTTTTTTCTTTTTTTTCTTTTTTTTGTTAGGCTGTGATGGACGTCATCCTGTTGTTTGATTATTCTCCTCTCTCAGGGTCTTGTTAATGTTTAACACCCACACACTTGCTGGCACCCACTTGCTGACATGGCTGCTTGCCCATGTGGACATGTCCTTTTCTTGTTTTTTTTCGTTTTTCGAAAACACGTTAAGTTCAGCTTCCCAGTGGTTGCGAAGGGCACCTCCCTGGTCGGTGACGGCCATTGCAATAGCGAGGTGCTCTTAGCAACCACTGGCACTGGGAGGTGCTCTTAGCAACCACCAATAGATCAGAGCACCGGTGCTCTGATCTATTGGTGGTTGCTAAGAGCACCTCCGTATTCCAACGGGCGTCACCAACCAGGGAGGTGCTCTTAGCAACCACGGCAGGAATATGGCCACAGCGGCGCTTTGATCTATATTCGGGAGGAGCAACGTGTGGCGGGAATAGGGCCTGTGGATTTCCTGTACATAAGTAAGGCTGGGAAGCGGGCCCAGCGTCCCTGATGAGGGCAGACTTGTTTGGTCTCAGACTTATATTAACTTGGCAGTCGCCAAGTACCTCGTACGCCGCAATCGTACTTGCTGACCCCCTTTATAGGGGATAAAGAACGCCGAGAACCCTACTGTCCCGGCTTTTCTGTACTCAGGCTTCGCCTGACCCACGTTACAGGGGAAAACCAGACTAGCCTACCTTGATCTCGTAGTACTCGTACCGATTACAATCCAGTATTGAAATTTGGAACACCATCCCCGCTTGCTGTTCCCAAGTGGTGGTTGCTCTATTGGTCGTGCGCCGTCGTCGTCCTCGTCACCAACATGTCATCAGCATGGCTGGCATGTAACCAAAAAAAAAAAAAAACGGCTGCGACAACAATTTTCTCTTGCCCTCTTCCTCCTCGTCCTCTTGTGGCTATGGCCAAAGGCCAAGAGCGGGGACTCAATTCGCAGGTGCGAGGGGAGGGGAGAAAGGGGGCAAGGTGGGATAGAAGGTGGGACAGAAGGTGGGACAAGGTCTTGGGTAAGAAGAGGGTTGCGGTGACGGGGTCTTGGGTAGAGGGTGCGAATAGAGGTACAGGGAACTCTAGTGCGGAATTGTGGTTGATGTGCGGGGGAAGCACGGGTCAGGCAGTGGGATGGTGATGTGGACATGTCCTGATGCGCGTGCTTGCATCATGATGTGCACTCTCGCTCGGGTTTCTGATGTGCGCACTTTCTGATGCCTTGGCTGGTTTCCTTTGCTGCAGCTGCTGAATGACTCAGAAGACAAACTCGTCATCCGATATGCGTTCTACTTCCTGTCGCGAATTCTTGGTGAGAGCGACACATCCGTCGGCGGAGCTGCAGGCAGAAACTGGGATGCAGTTTCCAGCCTAGACGGGCAAGGAGGTATCGCACCAAGGGAGGCCATTTCCGCAGTTTTGAATTGCCTTCTTTTGGAGGTCTCATCAAACGATCCATCTGGTACGTAATAATATACTCTGTCCAGCGCTGTGCTGCCCTCCATGACCCTTCTCTTTTACTCAACTGAAGACCTTGTTTGTTACCCCAGAGGACTCGATGATGGCACTGTAGCTGGGATCCAGCTCGTCTGGATTTTTTTTTTTTTTTTTTTTTTGCGATGCATATTTACCTCCTGGCGGTGTGCTCTCAGCTCTGCCTTTGTTTCCTAGGTTCGTTGAAAATGTAAATATCAAATTGAGAAATGGTCCAAAAAAGGGAAGGGGAAAAAAAAACAAAAAAACTACCATCCGCGTGGTACGCAGCAGCACTCGGTGTTCGAATTCGGGGCACTTTTTTTTTTTTTTTTTTTTTTTYTTTCTGTTGTGGGTCTTTTGTACTCCTTACTCCAAAATTCCAAATGGTCGTCGGCATTCTGTGCTAGCGGTGGAAGCTTTCACGATGAAGTCGGATAAGCCTCGTCACTTCGGCAGTCACCCGTGTTTTGCTCCGCCATTTCTCTCTCTGTTGCTGGTGTATGATTCGGGGCACTTTTTTTTTTTCTTTTTTTTTTTTTCTGTTGTGGGTCTCCAAAATTCCAAATGGTCGTAGGCATTCTGTGCTAATGGTGGAAGCTTTTACGATGAAGTCGGATAAGCGTCGTCACTTTGGCAGTCGCCCGTGTTTTGCTCAGTCATTTCTCTCTCTGTTGCTGGTGTATGATTGACGCTGATGCTGTCCGTCTGTTTGACGCTGTTGATATCTGTCTGGCTCTGTTTGTGTTTGTTCCTTCCACTACGGTTTCGGCGGATGGCAGCACAAGGAAGACGAGCTGCAGCACTCAAGGCCTTCGTTTGCATGAATCCCTCTGATGTTGATGCCTACACTAAACTGTACACCATTGTGGAGTCCATTTTTGAAAAGGTCAGTAAGAAGAAACGAAGCAGGTGCGTCCTTCGGGACATCCCTTAAAATTGGAACGATACACAGAAAGAAGATTAGCATGGCCTCTGCGCAAGGATTTAAAAAAAAAAAAAAAAAAAGAAATGAATCAGGCAGAGAGACCCGGGGTCACTTGCCCGGCCGGGCCAAAAACAATTAAAAATATATATGTTTTTTTAAATTTTTGTTTTCCTAAATTTGGTGCAGAATTTCGATGTGACCCTGAGGCAAAAGTTGTTCAGTTTATTTTTCTGCATAACATAGTTTTTTAACTTTTTTTCGGGTTTTTTTTTTTTTTTTTTGCTTGGACCTTCCCTGGTCCTTGCACGGGCTGGCCACCCGGGACCCGGGCGGCCCGGCTGGTAGCCTAGAATTATTATCAATTTCTGTCGATTTTTCTGCAGTTCTTAGCGCCTTTACAATTTGCTTCGTGTGCCTGCTAGGGCTGACGCACGGTGCGGCATTTACAATTTCTTTTCATTTATTTAAAATTAAAAATTAAAAATTTCAAATACATATTTCTGTAATGAGAGAAGGCAACCATGGTAGTCTCCAGACGCTGAGGTGATGGGGTGGGGGGAAAGGGGCGTGGGCATGTATATATAATAAGGAGAGCAGGGAAGGCATGCTACCTACATTCTTCCCCCGAAGACTACGTATGGTCATTATCGCTGTACTTAGGGTGTCCTTCAGTCTAAGTACAGCTATGATGACCGTACGTTGTATCCAGGGGAAGAAGGTTGTCTCCAGACTCTAGAGATATGGCTTGCATGAATGTGGAGCTCAGATCAGAGAGAACTCGAATGTCAAAAATATTTTGGTCTAGGACTTTTGATGTGAACAAATCCAAAATTGTATGTTTGTGAAAAATATTCCCCTGGTTCTTATGTGTACGTGGGACGGATCGGTATTTGAAAGCCGACTGTGAGAGTAATCGTTTACGGCAGCAAGGCTGTTTCTATTGCTATGTGCTGACTGCCTTCTAACCTTGAACACAGGGCACCCTCATCGTGACAGAATCGGACTGGAAATATGACTTGTATACATTCATAAGCGATGTGTATCGGACTGGCCCGTTGAAGACAGCGCACAACGTGATTGCCTTTCTCGTCTTCTATATTTTTATGATATCTCGGTTTGTTTCTCTGCGACAAGTAGCAGCATCCGTATCTGTTATGTATGTCAGCTCTGTGTCGATCATCAGTGCATGCCTTTGAATTGCGTCTATCTGGTGTATTGTCCTTCTTCTTCTTCTTCTTCTTCTTCTTGCACGCCCTGCCTGCCATTGAAACTAAGTGGTAAGGTCCAAATCGGCGGATACTGACCACATGGGAGCTGATTACCCATCTAATGATATTGATTTGGGGACAGGTGACTAAACAACAACTTACAACATTAAATCTAAGTGATACCGGCATTGTTGTTGTTGTTGTTGTTGTTGTTGTTGTTGTTGTTGTTGTTGTTCTTCTTCTTCTTCTTCTTCTTCTTCTTCTTCTTCTTCTTCTTCTTCTTCTTCTTCTTTCTTCTTCTTTCTTCTTCTCCCTCCTCCCCCCTTCTCCCCCTCCTTCTCCCCCTCCTCCTCCATCCTTCTCCCCCTCCTGCTTCCTTCTCCCCCTCCTCCTCCTCTTCCTCCCCCTCCTTCTCCTCCTTGTCCTCCTCTTCCTTCTTCCTCCTCTTCCTCGTCGTCCTCCTCGTCCTCCTCGTCTCCTCCTCCTTCCCTCCTCCTCCTCCTCCTCCTCGTTGCGTTTTTTTTTTTAAATCCTTTCTATGCTTCGTCGATCTTGTCTATCCTATATGTCAGTATCCGAATGCTGACTTTGGTTGGTTGTTTTCATTGTCTCATTAAAATTGATCTGGGTAGTGTAGCTCGGTTGGAATCTCGTTGTGATTGTCGAGTTTGACTTCGTTGATGATTGCCCGGCAGTAGTAAGCTCCATTGAGCATACTAGTTGCCACACTACTCCCACGAAACGAAAATAAAATAAAATGCAAGTGCATCTTCCTAGAGAAAGTGACCTAGTACATGTATTACTAACTAGACTAACATATGTACTTCCCAGCCTCTGTGGAAAGATGCACTCACGTCTCTTTTTTCTCTGGAGGAGTGTCGCTAGCATGGTTATGCCGGATCTGGGCCCAGTCACAGCGCGGCATCCTGCCGGTCTGACGTTTGGAAATTTTTCGGATGTCCGGAATTACATAAAATAAATTTGAAAAAAAAAAAGTCACAGAAGGCTCACAAACGGGGGGGTGAATTGGGCCATACATACGTCAACGCAGGATCCAACCTGTACGTTTCTCTCTCTCTCTCTCTCTCTCTCTCTCTCTCTCTCTCTCTCTCTCTCTCTCTCTCTCTCTCTCTCTCTCTCTCTCTCTCTCTCTCTCTCTCTCT